ACCAAAGTTATCAACCTAATTTATTTCGTTTATGTGTATCATCCACTCTCCATCTTTTCCTGTGCAAGGCAAGGAGGTCTACCTCGTAGAACTCTTCCAGGTACGACTCGAAGAAGTTAGGTGCTCAAATTATGAGGTCGTCGCGGTTATCAAAAATTGGTTTGCTGCTAAGGAGTATTGCGCTGACCTGAGTCAGTGATAGTTGGAGGGTGCCAGGTCTGAGCTATATGGCGCGAGAGGGAGAGCGTCCCAGCCCAACTCCTCGATTTCTTGTTGCAAAATTTTCGCGACATGTGATCTTGCATTATCGTGCCAAAATGTTTCAATGACCGAATTTGCCCTTTGACTACGTAGAGCCCGACCCTCGCCTGCGGGATGTTGTGCGCAGAGTTTAGCTGTAACTATATGACGCACAATCAGCTCTCCATAGTAAGCCATTCTTATACTGCTTCACCATACTGCAGCAAGACTTTTTCTCTGTGGCTGTCCGGTTTCGGAGAGGCCCTCAGCTGCCCATCTGTTGCCAACCACGGCCATCTTCTCACTTTGTTATCGGGGAACATCCTTCTGTAAAACACGCCTTCAACGAAGTCAGGAACCTTCTTCTTCTTGGAGTTATGCAGCAGAGTTCAAGTATTGGCAACCAATACTGCTTGCTCGTGTCGCTCAGAATAGGCCGAACCCATTTTCTTTCCTGGAAGGCCCTAACAGTCGCACGTAGGAACTTTCAAATTTTTTTGTTGACACAACTGAATCTCCATGCAAGTTTTGTGCGGTATGTCGAGGACTCAATTCGTTGGCCTTCTTTATTTCTCCTTCATCTGGAGCTAGAGGTCAGAATCCACGACCATCGTCATCAGCTCCTTTACCTCAGTCTTAGAAGAGCTGAAACCATGGCTGAAAGGTGCACCAGAAACTGAGTGTTGCTGCTCAATGTTTTGCACGTAATGAGTGGGATTCGTTGGCTGTTTTTCTTTGCTTGAGTATACACGCTCAGGCGATGTTTTCTGATCAATCATGTTCGAGCAAAAGTTTTGGCTCAAAGAACATCCGCTCGCTGACGGCTAAGGTTTCGCAATATGCGCACTGAATTGCTCTATCGAATGGATGCTCTCCCATATTACGAGGTTGAGTTTCAGCTGAGAAACAAAGCCACTAAAGGAAGCGACATTTCAAAGTTACCAACCTATATTTCTTATTTTTTTCTATTTCATCACTTCCTTATCTTTTAGTAGCAATTATCGTCAGTTTGAAGTGTAACTGTAACATGTCCCCTTATGATTAGCACGCCCAAAATGCCTCCATCTAATCCAAAATGCAGCCCGTGAACTCGATCTACTTGCTGCTTCTGGTCGCTCCTATCACAACCGCAGTTGATTCTAACCAACTAATATCAGCTATTGTGGTATGTTAAAAGCCTTCAAAAACTTTGTTAGAGAGCCAAAAGACCTAATAATTACCCGCGACATAACCGCATAACAACATTTCTCACGATACAAGGTACCCAAACAGGGGCTCGTCGCTCGCGAAAAAGGCAAGGGAACGCAGTCGGGTGTAGTAGAATGCGAGTTTCGCAGCTGATGGCATTCCCTCGGCGATCTAGCATGGCCGTCCTCGCATCACTGGCGCCGCGGCACGCCCACCTGCTCGCCGTCCTCTAGCCGTTTAGCAAGAGAGCGTTAGCGTTGAAGAGGGCAGCACCGATGAGAGTCGCATCAATGCGGAAATCAACGGGCAAGGAAGGGGTCCCATTTCTCGGGTTCTGGGCCGTTTCTCATGGTTTTTCTTCATCCCTGCACCACTGACCACCTCTACCCGATTTCTAATGAGCTACTTTTTCGTCTTCAGTGTCTCAACATCATTCCCATCGTGCAAGCGAATCAGCGTACCCGCTGCTTTGGAATCTAAGGTGGAATGGGTTATGATGCTGGCTTAAAATTCCGTCTTGGCTCACCGTTTGAAGTGCTAGGCCAGGAATTACCAAATCTCCTAATTTATGAGTTCAAAAATTCGTGAAACGTACGCTTTAGTACCTTAAAACGTACATTTAGCTATTCCGCCATGGAGCTCGTGCGCCCACCGACAAACTGTCGAACGACACCTTTCAGCAGTACTTCCCTAATGGGCTTGGGGAACTGACCGATGTAGGTTCCTCACCTAGTTTGTTTTTACCAGTGTACAACAAGCAACTCTTCTTTTCCAGGCTGGTATAGAGAAGCAGCTTTGAGCTTGGGAAATTCCTCAGGAGCATGTATGTCGAGACAGGCTTTCTGAAGGATCCATTATTACCCGCACAGGTTCTATTTTCATCAAATTTCGAACCTAAAGACAGCGGGTGCGAGGTGGAGCGGTTCTGACGACATCGTGGGCCTTTCTGACGGGTGGACGCCGGGATGTGACCGTAGCCCAATAGCGTCATCAGAATCGTTTCGCTTTCCGACCATTGCACCTATTGCTCTTGAGAGTGTCATTTAACAACCGAGTTTGGAATAAAAACTGATTTAGGTGTATTTTCGGAGTAGAGCTAATAGTCGCTGTCTGAATGACCGCAGCTTTGGTGGGTCGAGGCATGTTCAACAGTGCCGAGCGATTAATCGGTGCTCCCGTACCAGTATATAGCCAAGTAAAGGGCGACTATGTAAGTAAATTTTTCTGCAGTTCATCCTCAGTTGGGAATTTCAGCAATGGAACCACTTTTTGTATGAATGTTTCCGAGATAGATTCTAGCACTTACCCAGGCAGCAATACCTTTTGAAGGCGTGCCCAGGATCGGGACACCTACAGCAACCGCGCGCTCGCCCCATAGCGTCAAACCGCCCACCTTCGAATTTTCATCAAATCCTACAGTACGATTACATTTACAAATCGGATGTGGTTTTTTCTCAGCAAGGAATTACGAATGTCAAATTGTGCGACGAAGAGTTACAGAGTAAGAGAATATAAAGAAAGAATCTGTCGAAAGCGGCAATTAGGGGTAAAAAGCTGCTCACTTTTGCAGTTAGGCCATGCTAAGGAAATAGAGGACAAGCGGGGAGGAGAGATTGAGGCGAGAAGCGGAAAGGATGAGGAGCGCCAGACAACAGCCCTGAATAGGAAATAATAGCGCTGCTGCGGTTCACGATGTAGCTAAGGCCGTCGCGCTCCTGATAGGCCATGATTTTTCGTGCATACAGAGAAGGCACACCTGTGATGTCTCTCAGAGTCATATCTTAGAAACCGGGAAGGAATACGTCACTGACTGTCTGCCTGGCTTGTGATTTATGGAAGGGGATTTTTTGAAGTCACGTTCCCTGGGTTCTCGCCTTACCTTGATGCATCACGTCAGATTGTTGTGTAGAACAGCCTTTAACAATCATCTTTTTGAGCCAAATATCTCTTTACGTGTGAGACTCACTTTGAACTCTTATCATATTCGACTCTTCATATTCTCGTCACGACAATCTGAAGGAAAATAGAGGCGAGAGAATAGATTTGGAGATGAGGGTGCATAGGAGTTAGCGAGACCCAGACATCAAGGCAAGTGCAAACGGTGTTGATGTGTGGGCGTACGTTGATGTTGAATCATAACTCTTGCTTCTTGCTAAGGGTTCTACTCGTAAATGGGTGCGACACACTTCTGCAAATGTGGACTCGAAACCCTAGTTAGAAGATAAAGTGAGTAAAGTTCTGGGAATCGTTCATCATCGATTGTCTATCACCAATTTTGTTGATTATGGCAAAATTAGTGGTCAACTGGTATGCTTGGTTGGATTGGATGATATGGCCATGCAACGCGAACGCCATTTTTGAGCCTTGGAGTTTTCTTTTCGGCTGATCTAGTGGTCGCAATCCAACCCTAGAATGTCCAAGTAGTAGACGAATCCCATTCACTGCCCTTCATAGGGGCTTTACTTTCACGAACCAGGCACGAGAGGTTCCTATGACTTCTAAGGGCACATGCAAACGGAGCCTAATCTACTCTTTAAAGGCAAAGTTCGGGCTCAGACCCACTTAATGAGCCTTTACTGTGGCTAGAAGCGCTAGGTACGCAAGTGCAGAGGTCGCGTCACTTCCCTACTTCGAAAAGCGTTACTTAGACGCTAGGCGCTAAGAACTTTGACACGCTCCACCTGTTGCGACACGCTCCGCCCACCGCTCGATATCTTGTCTGCGTCGCTAACTTGATCTGCTATGCTCTCTCTACTCGGACTTCTCTAGCGCTCTCCGCGCTCACATTATCTCTCATCTCCCTGCCGGCCTTTTGAACTTCTCCGCAGCGTAGAGCAAAAGGCTCGTATTTCCTGTATTTCACACATTATACAATTAACGAAGTGAATATGTACAGTGGGAAAGCTAGGGAGGGGAGGAGGGAGGGGGAGATCGAGAGTGGGAAAGCGTAGCGTAATAAATGGTGTAGATTGACCGGTCCAGGTCAAAACCTCAAACTCGTCCACGCCAGTCTGGCCCTCTATCCATCCGCGGTCGAAATGATGCCAGACTTCCGCAAGGATGAAAACACTGATTTTTTCATTGGCTGTTCTCGTGACTCATTTATACGTCAGAAAGCCTTTGATCGTATTCAAAATACGCCACTATTTTCAATGGAAGCTGTAAGTGTGAGCAAGGGCACGGTCCATAAAGAAATTCAACAAGAAAGTGTTTGAAATGCCGAGCAAGTGAAGCCTGTTTTTTTTGCTGTTCGTTTGCACCCTCTTACTGAGACAGTTTCCGTGACTGAAGAACAGCTTGACCTCATAACTTCTATTAATTGTCGGAACTGATTTTAGCTGAACTCCATGCGACTTAGCGATCCCGTGCCCTTCCTCCTAGATTTCGGTTCAGACTCTTATCTCAAGTACCTACTAATCGTATCACCTAAAAATGTGCAAAATCGGGTATTACCATGACGCTTACGCACTATTGCAGAATGGTCGCTTTGGATGAAAATTGCGCCGTGCATTCGTGCTCAGGTAATTTTTTGCTTTTGTTATTAAACCTACTACGAGAAAATGAAACGTTTGGTCAGCTTAGAGCGTTTCAAGCCTGCAAATTTTTAACTTGCGTTCCAGTACCTCCAAATCCGCCATCTTCACCATTCAGCCACTTAACCAGCCAACATGGAACATCACACTTCTCTTAAATGCATATTAAAATTTCTAAACAAAGAGAGGGTATCTTGTGTAGCCTAAAAGCGCTTAGGCGAGCGCCAGCCTTTGGATTAGCGCCACTGGTCTCTAACGGGACAAGAGGTGCTTTTCCAAAGGCGGACTATTTGAAATGAACGTGATGGGAAGATTCTAAAGGAACAAGACAGCTTGGAAGGCACAAACCGTCTGCCATCCTAGGTTAGTAAAAAATGAAAAGGTTGAAAACAACACCGCCTATGATAACCATCGAAGATCTTACGATAGACCTAGTGCCGTACACAAGCGTGAAAGTGCACGTACACCTTTCACAGCCGAGCTGGATAATTTTCTCAAAGATAACCAACTAAATTACCAAAAACCTCATAAATACAATTACTAGATAGCAATCGCTTTCCTGTTATGACCTTTTTTTGTAAAACGACACCTTTATGGACTGCGATAACACCAAAACGGCGTTCAAATCTGTCAGTTCTGAAAAATGCTATAAAAATATCACCTGTGAATAACGCGTCAAAAATCAAAGGGGTGGCAGTCTAGCACCCCTCCCAAATTCGAGAAGAGCTTGTCTACATTTGGACTTAGCCAGTGCTCAGGCCATACAGTTCACAGCTGACATCAGCTTTGAAGCGGCTTGATGCGTTATGTGTGGGAGCGCTGATAAGCTACTTACTTACAATTAAAAAACTGGGCAGAAGGGCGGAGGCCTTCGATGTTAATAATTGAGATCGTGTTTGGAAAACATTCGCGCAAATTTGGCTCCCATTTAACCCAAGGTTCTAGTGATGGCTCAACATCAATGAGTATCATCCGCAGCACGAATAGCCGTGAACAGCAACAGTAGGGAGACGGGCTGGGGGGGGGGGATTTGGAAGGAAAAGTGTTGGAAACGAGATGGTGAGTGGCATAGTAGCCATTCACCACGGCAGAATCAACGTGTCCTCAAAACACTCTCCCAGCGCTCAGTTCTGAGCCTTTCATGGCAGTTCCCTGCGCTCAGAAATCGGTGCCAGACTTCCGCTAAGGATGAAAACACTGATTTTTTCATTGGCTGTTCTCGTGACTCATTTTATAAGTTAGAAAGCCTTTGATCGTATTCGAAATACGCCACTATTCCCAATGGAAGCTGTAAGTGTGAGCAAGGGCACGGTCCATAATTAAGCATGTTCCTTTGTTTCATCCCAACCGTGGAAGACAGGCGGACAAACTTTCATGTCGTGGCCCTTTGGGGCTTCAAAGTGCGCGACGAATTAGCTAGAGGCCTGTTCTCCCCGCAATCCACGCCTTGGTGCGCAAGCCCTGCCTTCCGCTGTCGGCAGCCACGCTAGCATCACGGCAGAGCGCAGCCGTACATGTGGCAACCCGTCGAAGACATGGCGGTTCGGTGTTGGCACTGGAGAAGCTGAGCTAACTGTTGATGAAACTCGTCCGCTCACGCCCCTCCTCAATCACAAGGTGGAATACGGCTGAAAGAGAGGGGTCCTTGTTCGGGGATTTCTTTTGCTTTCTTTCTTTCGACCCTCTTCTTACGTCTAGCTTGTTCAAAGTGGCCGGACCCAGCGCGGCTCATTGTCGAACGCTCCCGCTTCGGTCGTGCTAGTATAACCCATGGGCGACAGTATATAGATGTGGTTTTCCGTGTGCGCGAAGACCATAAGAGCGCTTGGTCCTTCCAAAGTAAGCTGCTGAAGCTGCACATTTTTTTCCTTCTTATGAGTTCTGTTGTCTGGCGCCCCCTCATCTGTAGCGCTCTCTCGCCCCACACTCTTCTCTCCGCGCTTAGTCTCTCACCCCCTTAGCACAGCCGATCACGAAGGTGAATGAGCCCTTTGACCTATAAGCGTTTTCGACGGATTTTTTCGTTTTCGTTTTTCGTCACTGCCAACATTTTCACATCGATACCTTCAATTCGTGCTGCAAAAGCCACACCATGTCGATCCTCGGGCATCTCGAACACCCTTTTATACGATTCTTGCTTTTAGAAAAGATGCATCAGTGACGCATAGTGCACACTCGACAGC